TTCTTCATGATGAAATCCAATTATTACGTAGAGAAGTAGAGGACCTTAGATATGAGGGCTACCAACTTAGGAAAGGACAAAGCCCCTTAAGGCCCAGTTAGAAACTAAAATAAAAGATTTTAGAAGAATTCAGGCAGAATACAGTGAAAGTGTGAACTGTATGATTATGTTAAAAGACAAAGATGAGTAATTACCGAGCTTGATACATTAAAAGACAATTGAAACTGCAAATTTTGATTTTAAAATTTGATGGATCAAGCGAGGTAGTTGCCAACATGATCGATCATTGCATGCAGTTTCCAAACGAAACCACAAAAGGCTTAGGAATATGATAGTGTACCGCCTCCTTATAATCATAACATATCAGTATCAACCCTTATCCAAGATGAGATTGCCAATGAATCTTTCATGGTTTATGGCAAGCCATCTGGTTTCGTTTCAGGAGGATTTATAAATGTTGAAAGTACTGACGCTTCTACTTCCTCTGCAGATCAACCCTAGATCAGGCGAAGCATGGAGTTGGAGTTTCTGTTTCTGTTTCTGTTCCTAATTCTGATATTTCTGTTTCTGTTTGTGATTCTGATGTTAAGACTGATATTTTGTGTGATGTTCTACTTCTGCTACTGTTGAATTTAAATTTCTTTGATATGTTTGATGAACTGTTTGGTATTCTGATGCTTGTGATTCTCATGAAAAACCATCAATTCCACAAGTCACATCATCTGAGACACCCTCACTTATCTCACAACCTATTTCTCATGCATGTTCTTCTGAGAAAGTAAGAGTTTCCATGTCAGAAAATAAATCTGAGAAATGTAGTACAAGTTCAAATAATAACAGATTTGTTTTAATTGTGGCGTTGGTGGTCATATAGCTAGGAATTGTCAAAATAGGATCTTTGTAAACTATATGTCCACCAAGAGGAAGAGAACGATCTCGAGGAAGGTCTTTAATTAGAAAATCCTCAAGAGCTCGTTCTCGAAATGATGATTGGAAAGATGATCGAAGCAGAAAAAGGGCTATTTTTCAAAAGAATAAAAGGTTTTTACTAACAAATCTCAAATAGTTTGCCAAAACCGAACAAGGCTCCGCCAAGATCGGTTTCGTCAAAAGCAATTCTGGGTCTTCCACTTCTGGTAGAACATCCAGAGGCTCAGTGCAAACTCATAAGAAACCTATTTCAAAACCAACTGAGAATGTTGTTAAAACCTAAATATCTTTGGATGCCCAAATCAATTTCCAATCCATCATTTCCATCCTCTGAAGTGATTAGGAATGAGGATTCTAATTTGAAAACATTAAAGGATAAATCAAGAAAGCGAAAAGGAAACCCAGGACAATAATGACCTGGGTTCCCAAATCTAAATGATTCCGCTCATTTTGCAGGGACAGTTGCGGAGGAATGTCGTTTATCCTTGGTACGTCGACAGCGGCTGCTCCCGGCATATGACAGGAGACATCTCCCAATTGAGCGACATTCAATCTTTTAATGGGGGTTTTGTTTCCTTCGTGGGTGGAGATGGTGGCAAGATCACTCAAAGAGGAACTGTTACAAATGGAGTGCTAAGCTTTGAGAATGTCAACTTTGCTCCCGAGTTAAAGCACAACTTGTTGAGTGTTTCCCAAATTTGCGACAAAGGCTATTCTACCCATTTTACCGATAAAGAATGCATGATTCTCAAGCCAGGCATTGTCATCCCGGAAGAATGGATTCTCGTCAAATCTAAGCGGGATGGGAATGCTTACATTATTGACATGAACAACAACATCCCTAAACAAGTCACCTGCCTATTCTCAAAAGTCTCCGAACAAAACGCAATGTTGTGGCACCGACGGCTCGGTCATGCTAACGCGAAAACCTGAATCGCCTTGCTAAGAATGAGATGGTCTGAGGCTTGCCTGTCAGAGACTTTATTACATTTGAGAAGTGTGTTTCCTGTGCTCAAGGCAAACACCATCGGAAACCACACATGCCCAAGCAATTCAACTCAATCAGTCAGGTGCTCAAATTATTACATATGGACTTATTTGGTCCGGTCAACGTCCTGAGCATCAACAGAAGCTCGTATTGTCTAGTTGTGATCGATGATTTCTCTCGGTTTACGTGGGTCTTCTTCTTATCCAACAAGCGGGGGTCGCTGATCTGATAAAGAGTTCATTGTGATGATTGAAAACAAACCAACAACCAGGTGAAGGCGCTTCGTACTGATAATGGAACTGAGTTCAAGAATGCCGTTCTTGACCGCTTTTGCGCAGAAAAGGGGATCGCGCATCAATACAGCTCTGCTCACACGCCTCAACAAAACGGTGTTGCTGAAAGGAGAAACAGAACTTTAAAAGATGCTGCAAGGACAATGCTTTGTGATTCCAAATTACCTGTTTTCTTTTGGGCCGAGGCAATTAACACTGCTTGCTACGTGCAGAATCGTGTTCTAATCAACAAAGCTCAGATGAAGACACCGTACGAGATTCTCTATGGACACAAGCCTTCAGTCAGCCATTTCCGTGTATTTGGCTGCCCTTGCACCCTTCTTCACTTGGAATCCAACCCTAAATTCAATGCCAAAGCCGATGATTGTTACTTGTAGGGTATGCTGCGCGCACCGCTATAGGGTTTACAACAAGAAGACTAAGCAGATTGTCGAATCCTATGACGTGCGCTGGTTGGAGGAGAATGAAACAGACGCTCGAGTGGGTCCTGACTGGCTATTTGATTACACATCGCTTTTCAAATCCTTAAATGTGTCTTCAGATGGCTCAAATGGATCCTCTTCTGGTTCGAAGATTGTTCTGACGAAGACGAAGACGAAGAAGTTGTTTACAGACCTCCAACGGTTGAGGGGGAGTCCTCTGCTCCATCTGAGGGGAGCCTTCTGCTCCACCTGAGGGGGAGTCATCTGATCAACCGACTAGTCCAGAGTCTAAAGTTCAAGATGGAACTCCTGATGCTGATGCTACACCTCTTACCCCTATTGAAAGAGAGTTCATGTCTAGAGATGCTTCCGCTGTCACTTCAACTTTTATGGAACTACTCTTTCCTGAAGAAATTGCAAATGAGTTTGTAGCAGATTCATCACATATGGATCAATCAAGCAAATGATGGAGGTTTCAACATCCACACTCTTCCTGTTTCACTCAATGATATCAGCCAAGACATTCCTTCAAGAATTCAACGCGATCATCCATCGATAACGTCATTGGCCAGCTGGGTGACGGAGTTAAAACCAGAAGTCAGAGTGGAGATGTCATGCATGTCTCTATTCTTGCTTTATATCTCAAATAGAGCCCAAAAACGTTGAAATGGCTTTGAATGAGCCCAGCTGGGTAGATGCGATGCATGAAGAGCTAAATCAGTTTGAAAAGCTCGGGGTTTGGAAGTTGGTTGAGTTACCAAAGGCAAAAGGTCTCTCGACACGCGTTGGGTCTATCGTAACAAGCAAGACGATTCTGGTATAATAGTGCACAATAAAGCAAGGTTGGTGGTTTGCGGGTTTCGACAAGTTGAGGGTCTTGACTATACTGAGGTTTATGCGCCGTTGCTCGGTTGGAAGCTATTCGTATCTTTCTCGCTATGCCTCCTACATGAACTTCACGGTCTACCAAATGGATGTCAAGACTGCCTTCTTGTATGGCAAGGTGAAGGAAGAAATTTATGTTGATCAACCCCTGGGTTCGTTAACTCAAAGTTTCCTAATCGTGTCTACAAGTTGGACAAGGCATTGTATGGGTTACATCAAGCTCCTCGAGCATGGTATGCGACTCTAACAAAGCACTTGCTCGAGCATGGATACTCTCGCGGCACAATTGATCAAACTTTATTCATCAAGCATGTTGGTAATGATCAGATACTAGTTCAGATCTACGTTGACGATATTATCTTCGGGTCTACCAGTCCACAGCTTTGCAAAGAATTTGAAGGCGTGATGAAAAAGCGGTTTGAGATGAGTTCACTGGGTGAAATGACCATGTTTCTGGGGCTTCAGGTCAAACAAAATTCAACCGGAATCCTGCTACATCAAGCTAAGTATGTGGAGGATATTCTTGAGAAGTTCGGGTTTGAAGACGCAAAACCTGCATCGACACCAATGGCTGAAAGACCCCTGCTGAATCCAGATATTGATGGCGAATCCGTAGATCAAACTCACTATAGATCGATGATCGGATCGTTGATGTATCTTACTGCAAGTCGTCCCGACATCATGTTTGCAGTTTGTCAATGCCCTCGCTATCAGGCTAATCCTAAACTTTCACATCTTATTGTTGTCAAAAGAATTTTTCGGTATATCAAAGGCAGCCCAAAATTGGGTCTTTGGTATCCGAAGAATTCTGAATTTGATTTATATGCTTTTGCTGACAGTAATTATGGAGGCTGTGAGCTTGACAGGAAATCAACATCAGGAGGGTGCCAATTCCTTGGTGATAGGCTGGTGTCGTGGCAGTGCAAGAAACAGCATACCGTCTCTACCTCAACAGCTGAAGCGGAATACGTTGCTGCATCTGCCTGCTGTTCTCAAGTTATATGGATCCAACATCAGCTGTTGGACTACGGTTTGAATTATCTAGAAACCCCAATTCACTGTGATAATGAGACTGCAATCCAAATCACTAAGAATCCGGTCCAACATTCCAAAACCAAGCACATTGATATCAAAATTCATTTTATCAGAGA